CAGATTTGCTTCACTGATCCTGTAGTTACCTCCTTCCCTTACTCTGTAGCCTCTGAGAGTGGCTTATATTTCTAATAACTCTTCTATTCATTCATTCCTTTTATTTTTGTACACGGGGCTGGTTATACTGAAGACAGAACCCAGAGGTGCTTTACTAACACTGAGCTACATCCTGAGCCCTTTTCAACTTTATTTTGAAACAGGTTCTCAAGAAGTTGCTCTTGGTAGCCTTGAACTTTCGATCTTCCTGCCCCAGCCTCCTAAATAGTTGGGATGACAGGCGTGTGTCACACACTTAACCTATTGTTATATTTAATTCAACATGTATGTTGTGCTTTTTAGTGGTGTGTTCATGGTCCTAGCTCATCATACTGAAAAAATGGAGGAACAGGGCATTGTTTGAGACCCAAGACTATCTTCATTGTCCCCACTACCCTGTATCTGGCTTGTATAGTACGTGTATGTTCAACTTTCTGAGAAACTGTCAATCTGTTCCCCATACTAGTTCTAAAATTTCATTTTATGTATTCACTTACATTTTCACTTTTGAAATGCTCCCCAGATTGAGCTCAAACTCCTGGGCTCAAATTCCTCTCAACAAAATATGTGATTTCCAGTTTCTCCATAGTTTCAGCAGCACATGCTTTTTTCAGTTTGTTTTAAAATTAAGCTGTTCCTATAGGTGTATAGTGAAATCTGGTGTAGTCTTAGTCTGTTTTTCCCTAATGTCTAGTGGATTTGAGAATGCTTTCATATCCTTATTCGCCATCTGTTTATCTTTCATGGGAAAGTTTTTTTTCAAATATTTTACCTATTTTCCTGTAGGTGTTTATTATAGAACATTGAAAGTTAGACACAGGTATTCTGTCAAAAATGTGAGTGAAAAATATTTCCTTCTAGTATGGCTTATTTTCTCATCTTATTGGTATATTTTTTAAATAGAAGTTCTTTGATAGATTACACTTTTAAGAATAGAAAAAAGTCATAGTAAATAAATCTTCAAAAATAGCTGCCTTCATTATTTAAAATTTAAAATAAAATCTAGTAAGTATGCACCATCTCATCCTTGAAGCCTAAATAATTTTGATTTATCATATAAACAGCTTTTTCAAAATTGAAGAGTCTCAGTACAGGAGTAGTTCTCCATATACCAGAGGAAATAAAGCTGAGAGTTTATAACTTCAACAACTAAAATTTTTTTTTGGCATTTTTCAAATTGCTTCCCTTTTTGACTTACTTTTTTTTTTTAACTTAAAGATGATTTAATAACAATAATAACCAGGCACCATCATCCCAGCACACAGGAGGCTGAGGCAGGAAGATCAATGAGAGTTTGAGACCAGTCTGAACTAAAAAGTGAGCTCAATGCCAGTCTGAACTGCATAGCGAGACCCTGTCTCGAAAAGACCAAGAGACGCCAGGGACATAGCTTGGCAGCATAAGCACCTGCCTAGCAAATGCAAGGTCCTGACTTCAGTCCTCAGTACCTCCCCCCAAAAAAGATAAAATTTTAGAAATGATACACAGAATTCCAAAAACCAAGATGTCAAAAATTCAACAATGGTAGTTATATTGCACATTATTGTCTTCAAAGTAGTCACTCAGTGAGGCCCCTACGAACACACTCAGCCACCTGATCTCTGACAAAGGGGCCAAACATACTCACTGGAAGAAAGAAAGCCTCTTTAACAAATGGTGCTGGAAAAACTGGATCTCTACATGCCGAAAACTCAAACTTGACCCAGGTCTATCACCATGCGCTAAACTAAAGTCAAAATGGATTAAAGATCTAAACATTAAAGCAGAGACACTAAATCTCCTGGAAGAGAAAGTAGGAGGAACTCTTGAAGACATAGAGGTAGGCAAAGAGTTCACGGACAGAAATCAAATCA